AAGTTTATATTTTTTTTTAAAAAAAACGTTTTTTTTATTTTTTGAAAATATTCGATTTTTTTGAAAATTTCGGAATATTAACAAATTTTTGTAAGAATTTTTTCTTTTAAATTCTGATATTTTTTGAAATTTTCCAATAAGAACAGAGGTCAACAGCATAAAGCATTTTCGTTATGTATAGAGTTAAATAACACAATATGTAAATTAATAAAAGTAATAAAAGTAATAAAACACCTTACCAACATCGAACTCCTTAATAACTATTGGTATGATCCATTCCCTGCAATATTTTGGTGGATGATTATCTAATAAACATTTTAAACCACTTGATGATATCACAATATTAGCATTGTATTTTATTGCCATATCGATACAGACTTCATCTTCACTCACTAAAATTTTTGAGAAAAAAAAAATCTTAAATTTCGCATTCAATTTAAAATAATGAAATAACAGAGATGACATATTTCTAAAACAATACCTGATACTTTTGTCTTGTCACTTCTACTTTTTATTGCTTTTGATTCCAAGGTGTTGCAATCATTTATACATTTAGAACAAGAATTAAATTCATTAATATCTAAAAGCATCGACTTTCCATATTGATGGACTATATTTTCTGGAAAAATATCAATACAAGTTTTCTGTTGACTTTTTAAATTATTTTCTAGGGGAAGCATAGTCATGACCTTATAATTTTTGGGATAATTAGAAACACGATTTTGTTGCCATCTAAAATTTAGTTATCTAATTTAGAAGCAAATATAAATTGTTTCAAATAGAAAAGTTCATAAAATTACCTCCAATAAAGTTTAATAAAATTCTTCAAATCAGGCTGAATATAAATCAATCTTTCTTTGTTTTTCCTGTTCCATATATTTTCAACATATTGTGAAAATTTTGAATACTCAGAAAATCGTTTCTTCTCTGAGTTCTGCAGTTAAAACATAACAATTAATAATGGTCAGTTTAATTAATAATAAAATAACATAATTTGTACTGAGCAAAGATTGTCTTGTTCAGTTATAAATAATAATCTTATACCCAACAGTACCATAAATACTGAAACATCTGTTTTTTCCTCCAAAGTTGGTTTACAGCCAGATGTAATGATTTCGAGTCCTCTCAAACATTGCTCATGTTCTGCTTTTTCCAATAATGATTGTTGAACACGCACAAGTGCAAATTTTCTATATTTTTGTTTATATGTATAAGTATAGCTATTATTTTCTAAAAATTTGCTTCTTAATAAATCCAAATCAGATGAATCGCACTCTGATTGATTAAGGAAACATTCAGGAGGTAGAAATTCATCATATGAGAGTTTGTAATGTGCAGAGGTTTGCAATACTTCATCTGTTATTTTGATGTTATTGAAATGCAGGCCGTAAGGTCTGAAAAGATTCCGCAGATTAATAAAAATAACTATATAATTAATTTGCTATTTAAGAAAGTTATACTAAATTAAATTCTATAATTAAGCATGGGTATGAATGTGGTAGAAAACATCAAGGAAAACACAAATATATGTTAGTACATTAACTTTCCTTATAAATTTGTGGACAGTGATTATCGACATACAGTAAATTGATTCACATAAAAAAATAGTTAACAGCATTTTTCCATTTACTTAATATTAAAAAAAAAATACAATTCTAAATGATATAGCAACATATATAGAAGAAATAAGCTAAAACAACTTAAAATTATTATTGAAGAAGATTAGTTAATGCAATTTGTTAACTGAACAATTATCAAACAACGTGGTACTAAATACTTGAATATATAATGAATAATTTCATCAAAATTAAATATTAACTTACATTTGAACAAAAGAAAAGTCTGAGAAAATATCCCTGGGATCTGTGGTTTTATTTTTCTTTTTCATTTCTCTCTTCATAATTTTCTTTTTTTCTTCTTTTTCAAATCTTTTTCTGCTTCATCCATTATTTACAAATACTATTTATTATTTTTCGTGATTTAATTCAAATATATATTTTTATTTTAAACGCTCTGATTCACTCTGATTATTGTGTAATTAATTTTATTACATTATATCATTTTTGTATTCACTATGTTATGAATCAAATGCACATAACCTAAAATTCTTGATAAATACAATACAAGACACATTAGCTAAATTGACAGCTACACAACGATTTGCCGTTTTCGCAAAGTTTTGCCGTTATTTTCAAATTTGACAAAAACCAAGAAATTTCCCGAATTTTCTATTTATTGCTAAATAATGAAATATCAAATTCAAAGTCGTTTTATTCAAAACTTTCATATCGGACTGTATATAACTGTTTTCATGGAAATGTAGTAAATTTTATCTAGTTCATTCTATCTAACTGACAAAAATCAAAAAAGTCCCAAAATTTTCTATTTATTGCTAAATAATGAAATATCAAATCCACAGAAATGTAGTAAATTTTATCTAGTTTCACCCAATCTAACTGAAAAGGGGTGTTTTCATATTAAACTTGGAGTAATTTGACAAAATTTATTGCTAGAAGTCTCCCACCAATATTTTTTCATAAATAATAAAACCATAATTTAAGTAATTTAAAACAAATTTATTTTAAAAATGTTTTGCTACGACATTCTAATATAATGAATTACTCAATAATTTTGTGTTTTATTCTACACAATCTACAATTTATAATTAATGGTATTTCAAGAGTTTTCAACTAAAACCTTCCATGTTACAAAAAAGGTAAAACATTGACAATTATAAAATCAACAACCGTGAACAACAGTCCTGATTATTCATAACATATCAATATAGGTAGATACAAAAGTCGTGTAAGAGAGTAGGTAATATAAATTTTTAGCATTAAGCATATTTCAACATATTATATATACAATTAAAGAAACACTGGGCTTCCTGATATCCATCTGATATAATAATGGCAGGATAACTAAATATAAAATAAATTTAAATCCTTTTTTAAATTAGCTAATTAGTACTTGTAAAATATAGCAACCGCCTTGAGATCCATGCGTTCCTCCTTGTTTACTCATTCAATTTTGTATATTATAATAAACAGAGGAAAAAAATGCATGAAACTTTGACAATAATATTCAAACTAAACTCTGATAATATTATAACTAGATTTTCTTGTACTTAATATCTAATTTCTAAATTTGTATGTACTTTGTAGTTTGGGTTATAACACACATTTATGTACATGAAACTTTATAAAATTAAAGTGATAATCAAAATTATATTAATGAGTACTCTTTAGCGTACGACCTGATCTATATTGCAATTTTAAGCTTAATTAGTTTTTGTAGTCATACTTATAAATATATATAAAATTGTTAAATTTTGTAATATTCATATAATACATATGTTTTTTTTAGTTTTATAATTTGAGTGAAAACAGTCATTTCCAAAACTATATTCTTTTTTGATATTTATATCATTTTTATGACAATATTCTTGCATATCACATAAATAAAAGAAACAGAATAATATACCAGATGTTATGATAAAATGTAATGATTTCTGTCTCTGTGCTTTGATATAACATTATAATATTCCCATTCTTTCGTTGCAGATACATCAAGCACACATTCGTTATTCATTCCTACATATAGTTTATTAATAAAATTTAAGTTAATGTTAGAAATTCTATTAGTCACTGGTCTTAATTCATGAGATAAAAAAATAATATTCAAGTTAATCTCAACATTAATACTAGCTTATTTTCCTGTTCTGACCTTAACACAACGCGACTTCAAGCTCCTTCGTGATTTCTTTGCTAAAGCACCTTCTCCCAGAGAGCCAGCGGACGCCTCTTCGATTTTTCTTTTAGAAGCCTTGGGTGAATTTGTAACGACAGCATCAGTGGCTTTGCTACTACTGGAAATTGAACAGTCAATATCTTGGTCTTCAACTTTAGCTTCAACCGATTTCAATGTTTTTGTTTCTGCAGCACTACTTGGCAAATGTTCTATTGTATTTAAAATCACCTCCTTCTGTTTATCTTCCTCTAAATTTTCTTCTGGCAATTTAGAGGTGTTTTCAAACACTGAATCATTAGAATCACGACTGAAATCTAAACCTACATCCTCAGGCTTTACACCTTGGTTTACAAGAGCTTTCAACTCATCCGAGTTCAATAATACATTTGTTCCACAGGTTTTACAGAATGGTGGATTAGCCGGGCTATTCGATTTCCAATATTGAAGTTCAGTTTTGCATTTGTTAAGCTCCTGCAGCAGAGTAGAAAATTTCCGCGACGTCTCTTCATTTTTCTTATCATTTTCATCAAGCCGTGTTGCGTATTCAAGTGTCTGTTTTTGTTGCTCAGCAAGTTGCTTTTGCTGTTCTGATATCTGACGCTGTTGTTCAGCCGTTTTTCGTTTACAGCTGCGTAACTCATTGCGCAATAGGGTTAGTTGACTGTTGTATCTACAATATTAAAAAGTAAGTATCAATTTTGGTGGTCACCGAAATTCTAAAAAAACTAGCTGTAAGTGGAATTCTGTCTTAAGGCAATTAGGGCATCGTGCCTTAAGGCAAATTGCTGGAACTTCCCGTACCAAAAATTATTATTTTTTTTTAAAAACGATTAACATTTTTGAAAAAAAATTACTTCGAAAAAATAAGATTTTTAAGAAACTATAAATTTGACAAAAAATTACTTTTTTTTGAAAAAAAAAATTGAAAAAAAAAAATTATTTAAAATTTTTTTTTTTAAATCTTTTTTTTTGAACAAAAAATGTTTTCTTTATTTTGACATATGTTGGAAGATCTGAACTTTTTTCAAAGCAATCGTACTGCATTAATTGCATAGAGACAAAATACAAAGCGCGTAAGCGCCGCGTCGCTGTCTAATGGGTAAACATTGGTACGGAACCCATAGGAATGTAAACAAAATTCATACTTATTGTTAAAATCGCTATAAAATATCTGATAATTTGATGTGCATATGTCTAATGATCATTTTGACCGCCAAATGGCATTTTTTTTTACTTTTTTCGTTATATCTCCGAAACCGCTAAACCTGCCCTTATAAAAATTTGATCAAATCTTGACGTATTAATGTGTCTTTAAAATTAAATCTTGAATTATTAAAATCGGACGCTCCGTTCTATTAAAAACTGAGGTACCGTTTTTGGCACTTTTTGCCCCATATCTTCGGAACGGCTAGACCTACCTCCGCCAAAAACTAATCAGCACATCTCCTTATCAATACGGATCGAATGCTTTTTAAATTATTCAAATTGCTTCATCCGTGTTCCCGAAATCGTCGACGAAAATTTGTATCCGCACACACATACATACTACGCACACACACACACACACACACACATCCATTTTTTCTAAGGTATGCCAAAATATTCAGAAACCTCTGAAACGTAAAGATATATAAAAATTTTCATTTTCGATTTTTTTGCGATTACTATAACTTACCCTACGGGAAGTTAAAAATGATGCGTAAGCAGAATAGATATTTTTATTAATTTCCCAAAATTAACACACTTTGAACGTTTTCTCATAGTTTCAAGTCATTCTGAATCAAATGAAACCAAACTTGAAAAAAGTATTTGTTCAAAAATAAGTTCAAAGTTAAAATTCATAAAAAAGCTAAATACTCAAAGTACAAAAAGAACTATAATCAAAAGTAAGTTAATTTAACCAACCTTTTCATCCCCTGTTTAATCTTGTGTATACGGTTTCTCAGCACCATATTAGTACGTGGAAGAGTACGCCTAGAACCCGAACTAGCCCTCTGATCCACCATTTCCCGCGGATCGTGGGGGTCCGGCGAACAAGGAGAACCCTGTTTTGAAGCGCACCCATCATGCGGTGGTGACGAATCATGAGAATGCACAGGTGATTGCTCAGAAGACAGACAGAGATAGGAATTGCTAACTGATCCACCTGAAAAAATATATAAAATTATGAACATTTGAATAAAAAATGCATTATCAACCTAAAATCTGTGAAAATGCTATGAACTCAGATACGATGTTGACAGCAGAGCAGTAATTTTCACTCCAGCGGCTTATGACTCTGTAATAAAATATGTACACACCTGTAAATGTACCTGTGAAATCCAGAAAATCTGTTCCAAAATATGCTATTTCTGGCAGGGCAGGCTCAATTCGCTCTTTAAAATACTCCATGGCCATAGTGCTCAGATCAAATAATTCATCAGTTACTTTGTAAGGACGTGCAAGCTTCTGAGTTACACGAATGTAGTGCAATATCCTGTACACCTCATCCAGAATCTGCAAAATATAAACATATATACATTCACCGAATAAAAATTATTCATTATGTATATGTTACGGTAAATGTGCACATTCACGGTAAATTCACCGGTGAATGTACACATTCCCCAAAACGCTAGGTGAATGTGGAGTTCTCAAACAATCAATTTAAAATAATGGTGTACGTGCGTATTTGGCACTAAATAGTTGATCAGTTGATAGTTAATAGTAAATAGTTGAATAGTAAAGTAGTAATATAGTGTATAATGAATAATTAATATTAAATAGTGAATAGTTAATTGTTAGTAAAATAGTAAATAGTGAATTTAGAACAGTTAAATAGTGAATAGTGAATAGATAAATAGTGAATAGTTAATAGTTCAATAGTTATAGGTAAATAGTTAATAGTTTAAGTAACTAATTAATAGTTAAAAAGTAAGTAGTTAAATAGTAAATAGTTAAATAGTTAATGGTGAATAGTAAATAGTAAATAGTTATTAGTGAATAGTGAATAGTGATAACTAAATAGTTTAACAGTTAATAGTTAAATAGATGAATTGTGAATAGTCAATAGTTAATAGTAAATAGTGCATAGTGATAACTGAATAGTCAAATAGTAAATAGTGAATAGTTATAAGTAAATAGTGCATTAAGAATAGTTAAAATGTGGATAGTAAAATAGTGAATAGTTAAATGTTAATAGGTAAATAGTTGAATTGTAAAATAGTGAATAGTGATATTGTCAATAGTAAATAGTGAATAGTGATAACTGTATAGTTAATAGTAAATAGTGAATAGTGATACCTGAATAGTTAATAGTAAATAGAGAATAATGAATAGTTAATAGTTAATATTAAATAGTTAATAGTAAATAGTTCAATAGTAAAATAGTAAATAGTGATGACTGAATAGTTAATAGCAAATAGTGAATAGATAATAGTAAATAGTGAATTAAAAATAGTTAAATAGGTAATAGTTAATGGTTAAATAGTTAATAGTCCATAGTTAATAGTTAATATATAGATTGTTAGTTGATAAATAGTTAATAGTTAATATATAGATTGTTAGTTGATAAATAGTTAATAGTTAATAGTGAATAATAAATAATGGATATTAATATGCATATGTCTAAAATAAATAATAAAAATATAAATATAAATATAAATATGATTATTAATATATGAATTAGTATTTCACCCGCACATGCGCGAGTTGAACTCACATTCGCCAAATGAGCCGGTAAATGTGCACATTCACCGAAATATGCACATTTACCGTAACATATATACCATTTATGTTTTAATAGCAGTCAAAATTGTAGAACATACATAAAACTGTATTAAAAAATCCTCACCTCTCCTGGAAAGAAGCAGCAATGTCTACGTTCTATATGTTTACCAAAAGTCATTTGAAGCAATGTCAATCGCATATGAAGCGTTTCAATGATATCGCTTTCACAAGCGAGAGGATGATTGCGCCTTGCAGATTCTCTGCGTGGCATTTTAGATTTGATTGATTGGAATCTAACAAGCATTTGAGTTTGAAGACGAGAAAATGTAGAGTTCAAGATTGCGGAGCATGTCGTGTTCATCTGACGGCACACCTGGATAAAAATAAAATATGTTTTAAGTAAAACTTCTTTAGGCGCGGCTAGGGTGTAAATCTGTACAAATGCAACGGAAATAGCGTTACGCCCGTACTGTACGTCATTCGCTCTCGATGAAATCATTTCTATAAGGGTCAATTGTGATTAGTCGTCGTGTTAAGGTGCATCCACACCTAACGAACGAACACGAACGAACATGTCGAACAAGAAAATACAAAATAGAACGAACAAGAACACGAACGAACGCGAAAAATTCCAAACAAACGCCTCAAAGCAGTGAGGGTTTTAATCTTTTTGTTCGAGGATGTACCGTGAAACGTCAGATTTATTATTTAAAGTGGCGGGAAAGAGAAAAATTATTTAAAGTCATCAAATTTACAAAATTTGTCAATAACAGCAATATCTTATAATAAATACAACATAAATTAATGCATTAATGCACATTTTAACACCAAAAAAGAAAAATGTTTGTCTACATTCGTGGTAGCGTCCACACTGCACATACGAGTTCAAACATGAACGAACAATTCCCTTTGATGTACCGACAAGTTGCGGAACATTGCTCGCCATGTTTGTTTATGTTCGTTCGTGATCGTCGTGGCGCCACACTATGCTGTCGCCGTTCAGGTGTGGACGCACCTTTACGTGATTAGAGACCATACGTTGTATGCGTACCAATATTAACAAGGAAATCGGCATAGATAAATAAACATTTTAAGGTTACATCCTAGTACAAATCTTGACTTAATGAAAAATGCCTGAATCAGAAGAATGTTTTACCCTGTTCCTTGAAAATAATAAAACAAATTAAACATTTGTGCCTTGTACTAAACATAAGTTTATTGACATTATTTCTATATTATTCATAGTTTCTATGAATCTTTGAAGTTTTTGAAATGGAAAATATTTTTATAGACAAGACAGATATTACAGCTACTCAAAAAATAAGATTGTATCGTCAGCGAAAAAGTAAAAGCAGTCAATGAATGTATGTTAATTTTATTACATAAAGTTCTTCAAACACAATTATTACATGATGAGTGAAAATGTGAAAGCAATATTTCTTTAGGCGCTGTTTAACATAAACCACTGTGTGAAGGAATAATATTATAGAGTTTATTAATAAGAAATTACTTAATAAAGGTTCAAGTCCTAAATGCTAATTACAATGACAAACCGATGTCATATTTAAAGTATATCTTTTTTATAAAATATATAATTCATTAAATAAATCCTGCACAAAAAAGCTGCTTACTTTAATAAATTCTATTATAAAAATATATCACTAATTCCGAAATTCATATGAACAAGAAATCATAGAATATTAATATAAATATTAAAATATAAAAAATTTGCTTACCATACGCATTTGAGAAACTTTCTTATATCCAACATAGGAAAGAATTTTCTCAATAACCTCCTGTGGCAAATCAAGCAAATTAATTGTTCGAGGAGGAGGTGCTGACACTGTAGAAATTGCATTAGAGGGACCTGCTGCAGAATTTTGTATCAAAGAACTTGAAACAATTGTTATAACAGAATTATGTCGCGGGGGTCTGGTCCCGGTTTCAGCTTCATCCGAACTTGGACTGGAGCCCCCTACATTTGTCATCTGCCTTGTGGAGACCATTTTTGTGAAAGCTGATTGCTGAAATTATAAATATATATGCTTTATGAACCAATTAGAATTTGTGAAAGGCCAAGATACAAACTTGAATTACAGGTCAAATTAATTCCTAACAAAATCATAAATATTGTATTTAAATGATTTTTAGAGTCAAACAATTCATTAGGCATGTCTTGAATAATTCTACAAGAAGGTACCTAGCAAATGCATATAGATTTAGCAAAGTACTTATTGAGTCTGTAAGTAATACATAGAAACTTTTGTAATTTAAACTTTAAACCACTAGCAAACCCTGAATATACCTTTATTGTATTTTCATAGCTAATGAAATACCAATTGAAAATAAAAGCACCTCACGCAGCTTATCAATTATATTAGTTCTTTAAACGCTCCAAAATTTATGTTCAAAAAGCTACATTATTAAAGCAACTGTTAATTTCAAGTAAAGTCAAAATGTATTATAATTATAAAATGTATTATCATTATGTAAAAAATGTATTGGTAACTGACACAACTGAAAACAAACAAAAACATAGTATTGCAAAAATACATACATACACCCATACATATTTATCACAAATTATATTATTCACAAATGTAAATATCTATGCAGAACAAATTTTTAATTATAATTTTTAGTCAATGTAAAAATTGATTTTTAAAGAATGTGTGATTTAAACAAAATTTGAGTTTCGTGGTTCCAGAGAAGTAGAATGAAATGGATGAGAATATTTTCAGGAAATTAAATAAAAAACTAGTGTGGCACGCACATGACATCGTGCCTTAAAGCAAATTGCTAGAATTTCCCGTACCAACTTTTTTTCTAAAAGATTAACAATTTCTGAAAAAGTTTTACTCCAAAAAAATAAATTTTTGAGATTGAACATTGGTACGGAACCCTATATGAAGGTACACAAAATTTATACTTATTGTTAAAATCTCTATAAAATATCTGATAATTTTATGTGTCTAATGATCATTTTTGACCTCGAATAGAATTTCTTTTTCCTTTTTTTACTAGATCTCCGAAACCGCTAGACCTGCCTTCCCAAAAATTCAATCAGTTCTTTATCTTAATACAAGTAAAATGTTTTTTAAATTATTAAAATCGGACGCTCCGTTCTCTTAAAAACTGTGCCAAAAACTTACCGTTTTTGGCACTTTTTGCCCCGTATCTCCAAAACGACTGGACCTGCCTTTGCCAAAAACTAATCAGCACATCTCCTTATCAACAGCAATCGAATGTTTTTTGAATAATTGAAATCGGTTGAACCGTGTTCCCGAAATCGAATACGAAAATTTGTATCCGCACACGCGCACACACACATCCATTTTTTCTAAGGTGTATCAAAATGTTCAGAAACCTCTAAAACGTAAAGAAACTTACTCTATGGGAAATTAATAAAATTAAAAATTGACATAACATATTTGAATTGGAATTAAGAGAGGTGTATTATTAGTGATGAATATTCCAGAAGTTTGAGAAATAGGTGACAGTAATTTAATCTAAACAAAATTTGTCTTTCAACAATATTTCATTGAATATGTGTGGATAGCTATTATTATTCATAAAATTAATTTTATGAACTAAAGTAATACTTCGACCACAACATATTACTTCATGAATTCAGCATATCATCTCTTGCTATATAAAAATTGTAATAATGTTATAGATTTTCCACAAATTTTTAACCATCTATCCTTTAAAATTCCTAGATTATCTTCATGAACAAAAAAAATATATTTCAATTATCCTATTCCTAAATCTAATGCCCTTAAACTTGCCTATTTTGCTAATGTCCTCTAACTTTAACTCGATAAAGATATCAATATTCACAACACTTAATGAAATAATCTACCTGCTCAACTCAATCTGTATATTTCTTTTCGAATATGTTTCAGTATTTTTTTTATTCAATTTTGTATAAAATTGTTATGTTACACATAACATACATTATGTATTTTACTATTTTGTATTATATCTGATTATAATTGTATTTTTAAGTCATCTTGGAACTATTCTCTGGGCTATTTAATAAAATAAATGAATAAATAATACTTGAGTATTTATTAGTACTCACTAAGGTAAACATTTATGGCATGATACATTTTTTAATATAATTTTTGGTGAATGTGCTCTTCAACATTAAAGAAAGATTTAGTTACAAACTTTGGCAAGAAGGAAAATTTGAATTAAAGGAGTTATGTGATGAATATTACAGAAGCCCGAGACGTGAGAAAAAAATTAGGTGACCATAATACAGCGTAAACATAATGCAAATATAACTTGTCTATCAACAATATTTCATCGAATATAAGGATAGCTATAATTATATATTATATATAATTAGTACATACTCACTAAGGTGAACAATTATGGCTTGATATATTTTCCAATATAATTTTTGGTGAAGTGCACTTCAACACTTGATAAGTGATTTGAAAAAAGATTTAGTTATAAACTTTCGCCAGAAGGAACATTTGAATTAAAATATATTGAATATTACAGAAGTCCGAGAATTCAGAAAAACTAGGTGTCTACCATCAACATTCCATCGAATATATTCAATGAATAGCTATAATTATAATTATTATCTTAATTGTCTAAATTATACTTGAGTACTAGTGCATTCTCACTAAGATAAACAATTATGGCTTGATATATTTTCAATTACAATTTTTGATGAAGCAAGATTCAGTTACAAAGTTTCCGAAGAAGAGGATATTCTAACCCCCAAATGTAGAATGAAATAACTAAAAGTTGAATGACAAAAAATGAGGCTTTTAGTTCAGATAATTAAAATAAAAAATATATACATAAATATGTGTGTGTAAGTAAATACAAGAAATAAAAATGTTAAGTACTCTATTTTCATAAACTTGCAATTTCATATCATGAGTCAAGACAAATTGGAGTGCATACAAAACTTGAAAAAAAGAATACAAAAACGATTTCCACAGTAATCTATAGAAGCATTCTATTCAATTAGAAATTTATTCTGGTACACAATGTTCAGGGTCATTGAAACATCAATCTAGACATATTATTCTTAGATAATATTAACCTAACACAAATTAAAAGTACAGAATAAACAAGAAAATTTATTAAAAATATAACAATGCCACGATTGATGAAAATCTAAAATGGCTTACCACCGATCGGGAGCAATTTTTACTAGTTTCTTCAGGCTTATTTAATGGATGTGAAACACTTTTGGAACGTTAATTAGAACATTTGATGTTATTTACTTGCACTGAACATAAAATATAATAAATATGTTGACTTAAATATGTATTATTTGATGAATTGAAGAGAAGTGTTTTGTGAAGCTTCTCCGTTTGGCAGCGCTAGAACGAGACCTCGATAGAATGAAAGGCGCAATCTTGTCAAAAGGTCTGTGGTCTGGAGTGGAGAGTCGACAGTGGAGTACACAACCAAACAATCCGGAATGGCCGCCGCCGCCGCTGCTAGCTCGAAGCCAAAGCGATTCGATTGAGCGCGAGATACGAATAACTAGCGACTAAATTTAAATAACAATCAAAATTGAAAACATTATGATCGAGTATTGTATATATTACATTTATGACAAATGTTAAAGTATTATATACATACATAATGGATTTACTTGTTAATTTTTTAACTAAATACCCAAATATAATTCACATTTGGATACAAGAATAAACCGCGGTTTTAGAATATCCTAAGCTTCCTTCCTTATCTATGATCCTAAGAATAAATAATTTATACACTTACTATTTTTATTATATAAAAAGCCATTATAAAAAAAGGTCTATTATACAAATTCTAGCAAAAATATTTGCATAGAACGTTGAAGTCATGTTAAAGGAATTGGCAACCCTTATTCTTGAATTTCAAATATTTAAACTAGTGGTGCATGGTATCGTGCTTTAAGGCAAATTGCTGGAACTTCCAGTACTAAAAATTAATTTTTTTTAAAAAAAATGAAATGTGTTTTAAACTTTGAAAAAATTACATTATTAAAAAATTTCAAATTTTTGTAAAAAAATTACTGTTTTGGAAAAAAATTACTGTTTTGGAAAAAAATGTTTTTTTTTGGTTTGAAATATGCTTTAGCTGCATAGAAACGCTATATCGAATCGCGTAGGTGCGTCCACACCTAACGAACGAACACGAACGAACATGTCGAACAAGAAAATTCAAAGAAGAACGAACAGGAACACGAACGAACGCGAAAATTTCCAAACGAACTTGAACAAGCGCTTAAAAGCAGTGAGCGCTTGTATTTTCGTTGTTCGTAGATGTTCCGTGAAACGTCAGTTTTATTATTGATATGGATGTAAGCTTTAATCATACGGCATTTTCACTGGTTTTTGTGTGATTTTTGTTCGTGTATATTTTGTAAATATACTGTAAATAAATTATTCAATTAATTTCACTCAGTTTTTGTATTTAATGCAAGATGAACATTCCAGGCTTATACTCAATATAACTATACTCAATTTTCATACTCTCATCCTCAACATATATGTTGAATGTCTATGTATGATAACAAGTTTAATATTTACTTGTAAATACTGCAATTTCTTCTTTACTGCAGCTTCTGACATCCCAAACGTTTTGCCTACACTTTTCCAAGCATCGTTTTTTTTCTAATAATTTTGTAAAAAGGGTCTTTAGTCTCCCATATTATAGGAAACTTTTCTATTTCATTTATGAATGATAAAATTACGTCATTTGACCATTCCATAATTTATTCAAAATTTTCAAACTGTACACAATAATTAAAAGTAAATATTATTAAAATTTTCAAACTGTACACAATAATTAAAAGTAAATATTATTAAATTATTAACATTATTATTAAATTATTAAAAAATTATTATTAAATTATTAAAATTATTAAAACAAAAATGTTCGTTTGCGTTCGTTGAGACGTCCACACTGCACATACGAGTTCAAACATGAACGAACAATTCCCTTTGATGTACCGACAAGTTGCGGAACATTGCTCGCCATGTTTGTTTATGTTCGTTCGTGATCGTCGTGGCGTCCACACTATGCTGTTGCCGTTCGTTCTGGTACGTTCTTTTATGTTCGTTCGTGTTCGTTCGTTAGGTGTGGACGCACCTTAAGCGCCGCTCTCCCGTCTAACAAGCAAACGACGTTACGAAATCCATAGAAATGTAAACAAAATTGATTCACATTATTAAAATCTCCATAAAATATCTGATAATTTGATGTGCGTATGTCTAATGATCATTTTTGACCTCAAAATGGCATTTTTTGTACTTTTATCACTAGATCTCCGAAACCGCTAGACCGGCCTCCCCAATCAGTTCTTTATTTTGTCAATACAAGTAAAATGTTTTTTGAATTATTAAAATCGGACGCTCCGTTCTCTTAAAAACTGAGTTACCGTTTTTGGCACTTTTTGCCCCATATCTTCGGAACGGCTAGACCTACCTCCGCCAAAAACTAATCAGCACGCCTCCTTATCAATACGGATCGAATGTTTTTTAAATTATTCAAATTGCTTCATCTGTGTTCCCGAAATCGTCGACAAATTTTGTATCCGCACACACATACATACTACGCACATACACACACACACACATCCATTTTTTCTAAGGTATGCCAAAATACTCAGAAACCTCTGAAACGTAAAGATATATAAAAATTTTCATTTTCGATTTTTGCGATTATTACTTACCCTACGGGAAGTTAAAAAACAAATAATTTAAGAAAACAATTTATAGTATAAGCTCTAGCACAAAATATTTGAAATTTTGCTAATACCTTATATTGTTTAATTTCAGATATTTTAATTATTACCAATGAGGACCATTTTTAAATATTTTAGAATAACTAATAATGTTTCGAAAATTTAAATATACATAAATATACTAAAAATAAATAATTTAAAAATAATAATTTATAACAAACTCTAGCATAAAATATTTGAAAAAACCTATTCGTAGTAGTAAACCTTATATGGTTATTATTATTATTTTTAAATATTCTAGAATAACCAAAAAATTAAAATTCAAATACTACTCATACTAATTAAAATTATCATGAGCACGAGCTGAAAATCTTGTAACAAAATAAACCAAGGTAAATTTATTGAACAATTAAAATAGCCCAACAAACGATATTTAATCGATAATTTATTTACTCTACTATTATTTATTCGTTATTTATTATATAAGCAATGATTAATAATTTCCTTATATTTTAGTTAATTTATTACTCTGGCTCAGTCTGAGTAGTTTGAGCAGTATCTTCAGCATTTGGCGTTTTTGGTTCTGGGATTTGATTTTTTAGCTTTTGCTTTTCTTTGACTTGCTTTATGAAATTATTAATTTTTGACTTCATTTCGTCTGAGTATCTGACTCTGATGATATCTGCCACTAAAAGCAAAAAATATAAACAAAAAATAAATAAAGTCTAATGTTATTCTAAATTCTAAAGAAAGTCTAAAGAAAATTATAAAAGAACATTCATAGAAAAGTTCTTCTGAAAAAGAAATAGTCGCTCTTATAAATCAGAAATTTGAAAATTGCAGATAATAAAATATTTAATATTTTCGTCCTACATAATTTAAAGAATGAAATATTTGTTTAATTATTTTTGTTAACTATTTGAAATAGAATAGAGATTACTAGTAAGCATAGTAAGTTACTTCTCTTTGTACAATTGAAATTACAACTTAAATACAATGATTAATAAGTTAATATTAATTAATTATAAAAATGACTTACATTCATCATATTCATCAAAGTTTTGTGCTTTTTCTATATTATTCAATATTTCTTTACTTTTGCGACTTGTTTCCTTTCTAAAAAATGAAATTTCCTGAAAATAAACACCTTAAATTTCTAATGAAACTTTTTAAGATGTTGGAATTTAAGATAAAATTATGTTTCTAAACCTGTTCTACATCTTTTACAAAAGCTTCTTGTAGCTTTATTTTAGTTCTTCTTGATCCATCTCAATGTTTTTAACATTCTTCAATTCGTCCATTCTGTAATAAAAAAGTGAATTCAGTAAGTGGTCAATTATTAACTTTCCGTAGGGTAAGTTATAGTAATCGCAAAAATAAAAAATACAATTTTTCATTTTACGTTTCAAAGTCTTCTGAACATTTTGGATATCTTAGAAAAAATTGATGTATGTGTGTGTGCGGATACAAATTTTCGTCGACGATTTCGCGCACACGGATCAATCAATTTGAATAATTCAAAAAACATTCGATTCCTACTGATAAGGAGATGTGCTGATTAGTTTTTGGCAAAGGCAGGACTAGCCGTTTCGGAGATACGGGCAAAAAGTGCGAAAAATGTTATGTCAGTTTTTGATATAACAGAGCGTCCAATTTAAATAATTCAAAAAATGTTTTATTTGAATTGACTAAACAAGAACTGTTTAAATTTTCGTAAAGGCAGGCCCAGCGTTTCCGGAGATCCAATAAAAAATGTAAAAAAATAATGCCATTGGTCAAAAATGAATATTAGACATATGTACATCGTATTATCAGATATTTTATAAAGATTATGATAAGAAATGCAACTTCGTGTACATATGGGTTCCGCACCAATGGTTACACGTTAAATGACTACGCAGCGCTTACGCGCTTTGATATTTCCACTCCAAATCAGCTATGCAGCACGATTGCTTGTCAAAACAAATAAATAAATACAAAAAAAATCAAATATTTCAGAAAAGTCAATTGTTTTCAAAAATTTCAAAATTTCTCAAAAATCTAATTTTTCAATGTTTTGCGAAGTTTTTTTTTAATAATATATTTTCGATACGAAAGTTCCAGCAATTATTAGATTTTTGATTTATTAACTTCCCGTAGGGCAAGTTATAGTAATCGCAAAAAAATCGAAAATGAAAATTTTTGCATTTCTCGACGTTTCAAAGGTTTCTGAATATTTTGGCATACCTTAGAAAAAATGGTTGTATGTGTGTGTGGTGTGTGTGTGTGTGTGTGTGTGTGTGCGTGTGTGTATGTATGTGCGGATACAAATTTTCGTCGACGATTTCGGGAACACCGATCAACCGATTTTAATAATTCAAAAAACATTCGATTCGTATTGATAAGGAGACGTGCTGATTAGTTTTTGGCGAAGTCAGGTCCAGCCGTTCCGAAGATAGGGGCAAAAAGTGCAAAAATGGTAACTCAGTTTTTAAAAGAACGGAGCGCCCGATTTTAATAATTAAAAAAACATTTTACTTGTATTGACAAGGTGAAGAACCGGTCAAATTTTCATAAAGGCAGGTCTAGCGGTTTCGGAGATCGAGAGATCTAATGAAAAAAGTAAAAAAAAATGCCATTTGGCGGTCAAAAATGATCATTAGACATATGCACATCAAATTATCAGATATTTTATAGAGATTTAAACAATAAGTATAATTTTGGTTTACATTCCTATGGGTTCCGTA